TTTGCAATAAGTAATACATGCAATTCAATCAAATCTAATCGCCAGTTATGTCAGGTTACGTAATAATAAACAAAGTTAAAATGCAATGTGTTGAATGTAAACGGTTATTTCAATGTCAATTTCAAAGAGTGATAGAAAACGTGTCAATTGATCAGAAAAAAAGGTTAATCTATGCAAAAGTACATTCTGGAAAAACAAAACTGATAGCAGTAAGCAATATAATATTTGAGAAAATACAAAAATGTATGTAAACAGCCTGCATGTTGTGTTTATCAAATCAATGACACTGTATGTATGCAAATAAGGTCTTCAAGCCAAGATTTAGCATTGATCAGTAAAATTTAAGCAGTGTGAGATGTGAGGCATAACCTACTGTAGGATTACATATATTGCATAGCATACATATTTGCACACATGACGGCATTGTGTATTCTACGGATTTCAACAGTACAGGAAGACTCAAAGAAAGATTTCTATGATCTCATCTACATTAAAACTTTCACAACAGTACCCACTGTACTGTTCATCTTTGCTGCATCTTTATGTTTCTATGGGAACATAAAGCCCATCTCAACCCCTCTCTGAGGAATACAAACCAAGCAGCGATAATGAATTTCCAGAGGTTGTTTTGTGTTAATTACTAATTACGCCAATTAGTCACAGAGGGGGTAAAAACAATCTGTGCGTTTAAAAAGACAGAGGTGGAGCTGCATTGTGATTTGAGAGTTGCAAAGCATTTGGTGAATGTGCAGTCATAGTAACTGACCTGATCTTGAGGTCCCTAATGAGGTGGAGGTGAGAGAGAGGCGACGGAGCTTGTGCCTGCCAAATGAAACCAGCACTTTGGGCTGTGCTCGCTTAATACTGGTTGGACTCTTCACCTGAGTGTGTGTCCTCCTCCACAAGGAATACCGACTCTTTAAAGTCTGCACATTGGGACTGTGTCTTCTCTCTAAGCAGGGACTGTTTCAAGAAAAAAATGCATTAAATAAAAAAAATGAATAAAACGTGTTAATAAATAAGAAATAGTTTTGTGTGTGCTTGTTTGTTTGGTTCCTTGTCAGTTAAAAAGATTATCAGCTCAACTGAATGTAAACAGGGAACAAAGCATTAAGTTACAATGTGCTGCCATCTAGAGGACAGTTTAGGAAAATTTTAAAGCCACTAACAGACATTTGAGACTACTAGCAATTACTCTACAATTTAAAATGATCAAACTCTAAAGATTTATATGTATAATTACCATTTGCATTGATTTCATTTATTTGAATCTGTATTTTGAATCTGTATATCTTCTGAGAAAAAAAATATGACTAAAATCATGCATCTTTACTATGATTTACAGAAACCCACTGGAAACAGTCTTCAGAGGTAATAATTAAGAACAAAATACAATGCAGTTACAATTTTAATACAAATATTTAGAACATAATTTATAAAATAACCAAAATACTAATTAATTGTACATTTAAAACTATATACTCGCTCTCCTTCAAAGCACTGGGGTTTTACCCATTTGTTATCCTGATTTAGTCATTCATTCATTCATTAATTTTCCTTCAGCCTAGTCCCTTTATTCATCAGGGGTCACCACAGCAGAATGAACCGCCAACTAATGCAGCATATGTTTTACACAGCGGATGCCCTTCCAGCTGCAACCCAGTACTGGGAAACTACCCATATACATTCACACACATACACTACTACGGCAAATTTAGTTTATTCAATTCATCAATAGCACATTTCTTTGAACTGTGGGGGAAACCAGAGCACCCTGAGGAAACCCACGGCATCATTGGGAGAACATGCAAACTCAACACAAAAATGCCAACTGGCCCAGCCAAGACAAGAACCAGTGATCTTCTTTTTATGAGGCCACAGTGCTAATCACTAAGCCACCATGTCCCCCTATAATTTAATAATTTAAAATAAGAGTATGATCACTTATTCTTTCATATTTTGCACAAGAATAAATACATACAAGTTGCTTTAGATGAAAATGTCTGTTAAATTACTTGTTAAAAATGTGCAAGAATAAGTACTCTGTGTTGTTTTGTTTTTACATAAATACAATTGCTAATCTCAATAATCCATCTGTAGCATTTAACACAACTAAGTTTAAGTGCGCTTATTCATTTATTCAGACAAACAAGTGGCATTTATCAGAAAATGGAATTAAAACAATTGTTTATTATATTGAGCTGGCCATTAAGTTTTAATATTTGTGCATCCCAAAAAAAATACTTCACATATTTTCTGCTTTTGTGGTACATTCTACAATTTTACCGAAGCAAAACACTCACTTGCTAGGAGATCGTCTGATGATCTTGGTTCGACTCCTCAGCTTAAAGGCGCCAACTGACAATGCGGCTGTAGCAGGGATATTAGGAGACAAGGTAGATCCCTTTTCCCCCTTTTGGCCATTGTTGTTAGCAGTCCACCGATACACAGTGCTCTTATGGGTCGTCCTTGAAGCTGAACTAGATGTACTTGCATTAGCATTTTGTCCAGCCGCCTTCCAGCGATAGCGACTGGTATGACTAGCATGGGATGTAGTGACAGCACCAGCTCTAGACTTTTTTAAAGGCGTCACAGTCACTGTGGTATACTTCTTTTCTTTCTTGATTCCCTCCATTCCACCTTGAAAAGTTCTTACAGGGGCTTTAAGAGATTTTGGCGAAAGCGGTTTGCGTGGCAATTTCACTGAAGGGTTTGCTTTCCCAGCTGTTGACAAAGAGCAAGATGAAGACACCCAAGTGTACTTTGAGGTCTTAGGAGCTCCGGGGGAATTATTAGGCTTGCGAGACACCCTCTTACTAGAGCTGGAGGCTCGTCTGGTGAAAATCATCCCAGGAGAAGATCCTGAGGTTAGTGGCTTAGGTGTGCTGTTTATGTTTACCGTTTCTTGGCTTTTTACCCAAGTAAACTGAGATCTCTTATGGCATGGTGAGGCTGCATGTGTCTGAGTTGAGTCTAGCTTTACCTGGGGCTTTGCTGGACTCACTGTAGCCTGAGACTGAAGGTTAGAGGCAGAAGAAGCCGTAGTAGAATCTTTTTTGGCAGATGGGATTACAACAGTCCTATTGGATGAGGATGAAGGGGGGAGGTGTGGTTTGACTTGAAGCTGAGCTGCAGCTTTGACAGTTGAAGGAATAGAGGGATTGTTCACTGCTGATGATTTTAAAGTGGGTTTTATCTTTCTTTCAGACCCCGATGATGAAGTCGAGTCAGTTGTTTCATTGGTAGAGGAACAGCCATGATGAACTTTTTCTGTTGCAGACAAAAGCATTGTCGTTTTTGTGCTCTCTTCACTTTTCTTCTCTTTTGAAGTGTCACACTGAACACCGTGTGAAGATGGTACAGGTTTTTCCTTGGTTTGTTTAGGTTGCTGCTTTTTAAATGAAACACTGTTGCTCCCAATAAGTCCATCATTACTCCCAGTGGCAGTTGCTCCAGATGTGCTAATGTGGAGAGAAGGATGGCTTACAGCTGAATGGAATACATGACTCCCAGATGCCCTGTTGGTCTTGTTGTTAAGCGAGTATGTTTTCCTCCAGCTGCCAGAAGAATGAGCCATATGTGGCAATGATGAATATGATTGTGTGTAGTGTGCGGCATGACCTCGACCTTGGCCCTGGCCACTCCTTAAACCACGTCTGGGATGACCCCATTGGCCAGCGCTTGATGGAACGTCACCATGGGTACTTTTATAGTCATTAATGAGGTCTGCAAAAGTCATGAGGAAGTGTGTGAAATTACAGCAGATTATGTAAAAAAGTTAATAAGATGGAATAATTCACATTAGATTTTTGATTTTCTGAGATTCTGTAATGTACAATATTTTCCTTAAATTGGATTTCTACAAAGAAACCTGTTAAAATCCTCTCTTGTGAGAACAATTTTTGGTAAATCATTACATAAATTTGTATTCGTTTAAATCTTCTAATCATTTTTGATAATCAACTTTTGATTATCATTTTGAACCAATCAACTGTATGCAATCATATTTTGTATTATTTTATATAATTATTGCATAATGGGTTTTTATTCCTATATTTATTTGTTATTATACCAATTTATTTATTGACCTAAATATAAATATATATTTTTCCATGGTGTTGTTTTATCATTTTAACTAATTACTCGCTATTTACCCTTTTGTATTTGTTTTATTTAAGTTTTACTTTATCCCCTAAAAATCCAGTGCGAAAATCTGAACTTAAATACATAATTGCTGGTCATTATGCCATTAAACATGTCTATCCGTCATAATGTCACAGACAATGTACACAATCATGGTTTAAAAGTTACACAATAGTCAAAATCACTTAATATGAGTTACACATTCATTAGCTTCCAAGAAAACACATGTGACAGCATGTCAGGAAAACAAACAACAGCATAATCTTAAACTAAGTTAATAAAAAATTATTAAGCAGAAACACCCATACAATTCTATCACTTTCATTGACATTCTAGCATAGGGTCTTGTTAATGTAACCTTTAAAAAAATATCTTGTTTATTAAAGTTCTAACTTAAGTGACCAAGTTTCTTGGTTTATTGACCTGATGACGTTATGTATAACAACAGTTTTACTAATAACGTAAATACATGATATTACATGTATTACAGAGACTACAAACACATAACCACATTGAAAGGTGTTACTGTGGGCAGTGTTATCTTAGCTTCAGGGAATAACCGTTAAGTCAGCCACGTTGTAACTGAACAGTTAATTCAAAAGGTAAGAGTAACGTTAACTAAAAACCAGCAGAGGGTTCGAAAAAGGCTAAAACAATTGTCGAATTACGATATAAATTCAACATATTAAATGACGAAATCACTCTTACTTTGCAGCTCCTCTATTTCTCTCTTAAGCGCTTCACGTTCAGCCATCTTCACACCAAAACACGACCGTCATAAAAACCGCGACGCCGGCTGTGATGACGTATACAACCAACATCCAATCACAACACGGCTCTCAACATGACTCTTTACTTTTGGTTTTGCTCAAAAACACTTCCCCTATCTTTACAAAACATCGACAGCACAGAATGTCAGGGGTAGTTTTATTTAGAACACCATTATATACTTCTGACAATCTCTTTAAATTCTAGTAAACGTTTAATCGTAGTACACAACGTATGTAGAGAAAGACGAATAGTTCTGCTAGAGTTCTGCTGAGTTTACTTTTTTAACAGAAATCGAAAGTATTGACATCGGTAAGTAATGAGCATAAACTCTTCAAATGTTTGTGAAGTTTAAATATAAAATTGAAATGTAATTTTAAAATTAAATTATTATTTTATATTGTCACTTTGAAGTGCTTATTTATTATTAAAAAGTTTTTTTGAAGTTTGTAGCAAACTAACGATTGACTGTTTCTATTTTTACAGGGTGTCTAGAAACTATCACCTACATCTAATAATGCAGTTGTATGAATCGCTTAGTTTTTTTGGAATTATTTGAATGACAAGAGTAACATGCATTGCTCAGAGGAAATGAGCAAATAAATGAACATTTTGCCCACGCTGGAAACACTGCTGTCAACCTGAAAGCTTGTTATACTTCAGTTTTCCAAGTGACACTTTTGAGAAATGGCCGCAGCCAACAAGAAGATATACTTCATTATCACTGCGAAGCCTCCTTCACCAAATAGCTTCATTGATGCTGGTGAAATATGCTACATAGATAAACAACAGTATGAGTCCAGGCTAAAAAGAAAGGCTACAGACACTTTACCTGTAGTTCGTATGGGTAGCTTACTTGAAACCGACCTTGATAAAGTTCTTCTGATGCCATTGAGCATCAGGGAAGCAGAATTACTGCTGGCTCTTGAACCTAATGAAGACCGACTTTTGGCACTGAAAGATAAAAAGGTTTTACAGGAGGCCTCAAATCTGACTACAGACGATCAGGTTTATGTGGAATACAATGGGAAACAACTCAAAGGTATAATTCGATACATTGGCAGTATTACGGATTACAGCATTAATCCTTTAGCAGGAACATTCTTTGGGGTGGAACTACAGGTGAGTTGTTCGTGTAAGAGAAAGTGTGTCTCTGTAATGTTGAATAGAGAACAATTCGTAGCAATGCAAAAAAAAAAAAAGTTTTTGTTTTAATGAAATGCTCTTTTCTCTTCTGTTTTTTTAGGGTGGCGACAAAGGAAAGGGGCAAAATGATGGCTCCTACTATGGCAAAACATACTTTAAATGTTCCAAAAACTCAGGAATATTTGCACCTTTTACAAGAATCACACCAATAGATCATAAGCCTTCAGCACCACCCCTATCAACTCCACCTCTCTTGTCCATGACATCAAGTGAGCCTCTTGATGTTGGAGACAGAGTAATCTATTTCTTTGACAATAATCCTCACCATGGCATGGTTATGGATATAAAGGACATGCAAGATGGTAAAATGGTTCTCATATCTACTGTGAGTATTGACTCTTTGTTAGAGTGACTCAAACTAATAATTAACCCCAAAATCAATTGTGGTTCTAAGACTGTTTGATTACTTTGTTAAGTAGATGAATGAATCAAATAGTGAGGTTAAGTTAATAATGACAGCATATTTTGAGGGGGTGAACTTTTTGTAATACTTTGCCTAGATGCTAAGACAAAACCAAAACTAGGCTGGTATGATCATACAAAGTCAAAAAATGAAAGATTTAATCTGAATGTTCTTATAAAGGTTAATCATAGAATAACTATTAATATTAATAGCTATATGTTAAATAATAAGTTAATGTTTAAGAATTGTTTTTATTCTAACAAGTTTAAGGAAAAATATCGTGCCTAATCACTTCTAGGCACATTTTTTGTCAGTTGCTGAACAGTAAAGCATTGACAGCCAATCAGCATTTATTTATTTTTATAGGGCATCAAACATATGAATTGACACACATAAGCAAAGTATTTGCTTATAATAAATTGAACAATACTGAGTGTTGGTGTGGAGGCTAACATAGTTATCAGAGTAGTGATAATAGTTGTTCTTGGTGTGGACAAGTTTTTAGATTTGGATATACACAGTACTTTATTAATCTTATTATGGAAATCTCACAGCACAATAAAATTGTTCTAATTTCTGGTCAGCTCTTGCTAAATTGATCATACTGTAAGATGAGCTTTTGTATAATGGTACAGAAAGCAAGAATGGTTTACTAAAAATGCTTCTTTTTTCAGGATAAAGATGAAGAGGGCAAACAAGGTGGAGAGATATTGGTCCCACTGGATTGCATAATGAAAGAGGAGTTGTTAAATACTGGTAATCCATATGTTGTGTAATTGCATTTTTTGTGTACATTAACAGTAAAGAATACTATACAACAATAATTGCTGTTTTTCTATATAAAAATATGACTAGATGAAAAAATGGACACTTCACAGAACCAAGAGATGGACAGCGCTTCTGATTCAGAAGGAATCTCGGTTGGCTCCCTAGTGCAGTATATGGGCAATAAACTTGGAATTGTCCGCTGGATTGGATATCTACCTGATTTTTCTGAGAAGAGTGCTGGGCTGGAAGTGGTAAATTCTCTATTCACTAATTCAACTGTTGTCATCTTTCCTAAAGAAATCTTAAAGTTTTTAAATAATCAAATAGTTAAATTCCTTTTAAAAAGTGAAATGTATGTATTTTGTATTAGGTGACAGGCAGTGGAGTGTGTGATGGAAAATATAAAGGAAAACAGTACTTTGACTGTGATCCTAAAAGTGGTTTATTTGTGAAACTGTCAGTTTGTCGGCCTGATGATTCTGTCTCTGGTGCAAATGAGAACAAATCTAATGGATACATTGGTAAGACATGTTTATGTAGTAAGCATTTATCTATGGAGACAATGTGTCAATGAGTAGTAGAAAGTGAAAGGCCAGTCATCCATTACATACTGCAATGGAACTTGTGTGTCTTTTTGTATTCTCTATTAACAGATCATGATGGGGTGTCTGTGGAAGTAGAAAATGTACCTCCTATTAGAACAGAAGATGTGTCACAGCGATTGATAGGCCAGAACAAGGGCATTCAGGGTCACTGCAACTCTTGTTATATGGACTCTGCCCTGTTCAGGTCAGAATTAATCATTGCAGCTGATATTAACATCTAATTTCATTGAACACAAGACACTTAGTTTTAAACACTATTTAAAGGGTTAGTTTACCCCAAAATAGAAATTCTGTCATAATTTACTCACCTTAATGTCTTTCCAAACACTCCAGACTTTTTTCGTCTTTGAAACACAAAGTCATGAACACACACCAAATTGGCGACCATAGAAAACATTATAACCTCTGTTGACATCATGAGTCATTCAAGAGTTAAAAAACTGTTGTTTATAATACTATAATTACAAACTTAAAAACCTTTTGAAAAATGGTATTATATCTAGCACGTTTTCAGTTGTGTGGCAAGCAAAACAAGTCATAATGTGCATTATTTCACGCTTGCAAGGATTTCCACAATGACAGTGTGCTTGTCTCTATGATGTCTATATGGAGACAAGCACTTTGTTCAACATAAGCCTAGTGGTTGATACAGAATGGCAGGGTACAGGAATTATACTAATTTTTGCCAGTTTCCCCATTGCTGTCTTGATGGAAGAGTGATATTTACTCGTTTATGTTTTGTTAAACAACTAACTCAATTTCAGAGCGCTGAAAAAAGAAAAATATCATCTTCCATGTCACTTTTTACATCACACATATATTACCAAGACCATTGGTTCCTGGCTCACAAAAGGGCCTCAGCAAGCTCTGTGGGAGGTCACGTCATGTTTAAAAAAAAAATTAGCAGTGGACAATAAGAAAAACAATCATGTTGTCTTAGTTCATTTTATCCCCTTGCTGATCAAAAAATGGACAAATTTGTAATTCGAAATCCACAAAAAAAAGACAAGAGTCTCACTGATTCAGTGAGCAGCTAATAGTAATGATCCAAGCATACTGGACCCTGGTGAGGAAGCTCCAAACATTTTGGCTCACATTGCTAGAAATACTGGTAACACCAAGATAGTTACCTGAATTATGGTTTTATTTGAATTTCTTGAAGCAGAGAGTCCCTGACCCAGCCACAGTGCATTATCTGCGCTAAAGTTATTGCTAACGAATGCATGAGACCATCCAAATTAATATGACATCTGTAGTCGACTCATCGTCAATACCGCAAGGTGTACCCAATACAAATGGCCTACTGATGTTTTGCTTTTATATTTTACATAAAGTTATTATTTAGGAATAAACATATTTAGATATAGTAATAATCCATCTTTTTTGACATACTTACTGCAAACTTATTTGAGCAATAATATCATTAAATATGGAGTGGGCCTACAAGATTTTCTAGGGGAAAAGGGGGTCTTAGGCAAAAAAAAAAAAAAAAGGTTGGGAACCACTGACCAAGACAACTGACACTTTTTAACGATTAAATTTTGACTGTCCACTCTGCTTCGGCGCTTGTGTTTCAACACACCCTCTCGTTTTGTGCTTGAACAACTAAATGAATGCTTATGTTTAGCTAATGAACTCTTTTGATTATTTATTGTATAGATGCTGGAAAAGGAACCTTATAAAATTGAAAATAATCACACCAATCTTTAGCCAGTGGCTGAAAAATACTTCTGTGCATATATCCCATTCATAAAAAAACGAAATCTGCATAAGCTTTGCATGATTTAAATAGTTTTAAAGCATTCATACCTGTCTAAAAGAAGTACTGTAACTATTGTGTCATCCTTCATCGGTTTTAAACAATATTGTCCCTTCTGCTAGCAAAAGCCTTTCAAATTTTTTTTCTTTCAACCTGTAAAGCTAAAAAATGTTTCTGAAGACAATCACTTATTACACTTTTTAATTATTTAGAGCTCAAGTGAAAAAATTAACCTGACTTGTTTTTCAGGAAGCTTAAATGTGCCACATGACACGCTTGAACGAATTTTACTGTTTCTTGCAAATGAGTCAGACGTGCTTAAGTTTGAATGCAGTAAATATTGTTTGTTGATTAGTGTTTAATGACAACTATAAACAACTGTAAATCTGTTTATCATATAAAGTGATTACGTCTTTTCAGAAGATATATGATAAAAACATTAATTTATTATGGATTTATTTTAGTTGTTCATGAAAGTTTTGAAGCATCAGAGTTTTGGTTATAGGGATATTAATGATAAAGTTTGGTTTAAAATACCTTCATTTGTGCTCTGAAGATGCACAAAAGTCTGATTTTCGGTTTGGAGTGACATGAGGGTGAGAAAATGATGAAGGAATGTTCATTCATGGTGATTTGAATAACTTGAGAAATTATTAAAAATGTATATAATGGGATAATCTAATATATGTTGTTATGTATTTTTTATCCAGTGTGTTTTCCTGTTCATCAGTTCTGGATTCTCTGCTTTTTAAGTCCATAAATCCCGAGGATAAAACCATTCAAGACATCTTGCTGAAGAACATTGTCAACCCTCTTCGCAAGTAAGTTCAGCTTTGTATCTGTTGTATTTGTAAAACTGAAGTTTCCAACCATGTTTCAGTCACTCTTATAGAACATACATGCATACAATGCATACATACATACATTCATTGAACTAAATTTTTACCATAACATTTATTTTATTATTACAGACAAGGTTTCGTCTCTGCGCGCTGTGTGATGAATCTTCGGAAACAATTACAAAAACGGGAACACTGCCCCACTTACACCACAGATGAGAAGGGTACACCATCTTCTTGATGTCAAAGCTTTGTTAACTGTGTCAGATTTCAAACAGAATATTGAAGGCAAATGTCCAACTTTACATTTCTCTGCAAGTCATCAAAAAAACACAGATCCAAAATATTACACAGCTGTTTCCACAAATTATTTAGATCTCATTATCTATAAAAGACCTTTTGGCTGCTTTATAGAATTACTCTAAGCACAGTGTTTTTCCTCCATATGTGCAGATCCTGAAGAGTTCCTCTCTCTCATTATGCAAGAGATTCTCTTTCTAGATCCGCTGCTCAGTCTCTGGTAAGGGTGCTTTTCAATGATTTTAAAGTATTTTCCAGTTGCAGGGTGTCTGCATGGTCTTAAAATGTCTTACATTTTCAAAACGAAATTTTAGGCCTTAAAAAGCCTTAAATTCACTGAAATATTAGTGTTGTAGCTCTTAGATAATTTTAAACAGGTCTTACATGACATCTGTTCAAGTAAAGATACCCAGTTGGACCGAGATCCATCCAATCACCTACAATCAATTTCAATAAATATATTTTTTTAATGATAATTTTTTATATATTTATGTTTTTTATTGCAAAGAGATGCAACAAATTCTCCAAATTAAAGTTTCTAATCAGAGTAAATGATAATATAATAAAATAATAATAAAATATATAAATAAATATAATAAAATAATAATAAAAGAGCAACATATCCCTTTACATGATCTTCCATTTATACAAAAACTATTTGTTTATAAATAAATATAATAAAATAATAATAAAAGAGCAACATATCCCTTTACATGATCTTCCATTTATACAAAAACTATTTAGAAAATTAGGAGTAGTGGACATGATGTTTATAAATAGACATGAAACTTAAGGTTTAATAACAGAAATGCTTTAGGTTGAATAGGGATTATACCCGATCCATTTGGACCCTAAGCCAACAAATATCATATATATTTTTGATTATTCATGTAATTTTCTCTGTAATAAATATACTTATAACAATTTTAAACTTGTCTTTAAAAAACTAAACGCTTATGTTGAAAAAAAGGAGTATACAACTACAGTTTTCTTCATTTGAAACATTAAAATATGTGGAAAATACATTTGTACGATTGTTTGTTTTTTTCTGGCTAGCAAAAAAAAAATCCATCGGCCCACCTTTTAGCCCTGTATAAGTCTTAAATTTAATCCATTGTGGTATTAAAGGGTCTTAAAAATTCTTAAATTTAACACACAGAAACCATTAGTAAGGATGGAAAACCAAAGGAATTTGCTATTTACAACTATTATCTATACATATTTATAGGCTAAAATATTATTTAAAATATACTGAACAAAATAACTATTATTTATCACACCATGTTTCTGTTGCCCATGTGTGTTTTAACTACATGTTTGAAACACTTAATTATTTCAGATATTCAATTTTGCTACATGTTCTTGAAAGTAATTCAGTTAAAGAATAGTATTCTGGACCCTATTCTTAAATCTTGCTATAAATTTTCTGTAATTGATTATGCATGATGTCTTGGTTTCCTCTGGTTGTCAGTGTTGTATTTTTTTATTTTTATTTTTTTTACAGAATATCTTTAATTTCATTTTATTTATTTGTGTGTTTATTGTTTTTGAGTGTGTTTGTTTGTATGCATGTTTGTGTACATATAATACTTTGTTTTCCCTTTAACAGCCAATCAGGAAGTAGACACAAAGTGCAAAGCTGTTACTACTATCAAATCTTTATGGATTATAACCACCATTTAGTCCTGCCAACAGTTCAACAGCTACTAGAACATTCATTTTACAGCAACAGTCTCAAGCTAGCAGAGGTACAGTATCAATTCTCGTTTTCTCTGTGCTTTTTATGTATCTGACTGTTTCAAATACTGCTTTCAGTTCCTTGTCTTTTTTGTTTGGACATTCCATGTTTGACCTGCAGATAGTGCTGTTTCTCTTTGTTTAAAATGTTTTTTTTGTCACCTGAATTGGAACCAGTTTTCCCAATAAGTGTCTTTCCTGACATCTAATTGAAAATGATTTTTACAATCTAGATGTATGAGTTATTGTGTGATCTTTTTTTATCTACAGGTTCCTGCCTGTCTGATTCTCACGATGCCTCGCTCAGGAAAGAGTTTTAAAATGTTTCCTAAAATCATTCCTTCTACTGAATTGGACATCACCGGTCTTCTCGCTGATAGTAATGTCTCTTCAACATTCAAACAAATATTATGTCCTTGGGCTTTTCTGGTTGTCTATTTCCTAGTTTCTGTGTGTTCTGTTAAGTGGTGTGAGGTGTGTGTTTGTTTATGTACGTTTGTTTATAGGTCCTCAGCAGTGTGTGTCGTGTGGTCTTTTGGCAAATGAGGAGTGTGCTGAATGCTTCAGAGACGCACTGTTTAGTGATACAGGGTTTAAATATTTCTGTACCAAATGTTCCACTCAGGTAAGGTTTTACACATGCTTACTGTTTTATGATTTCTGATTATAAAACTATATATAATAAGAGATACATTTTTAAAAAGTAGTTAAAATACATGAACATTTTATTTTTTTCATGTGACAACAGAGCAAATTTTTGATGTTATTCACTTTTCTGAATCACACAATCCTTCAGAAATCATTTTGATATATGGTTATGGCTCTTAGTTTTTAATATATTAGTTATCAATGACTATTTGTGTTTATTTATTAATAATGGTTTATCAAGTAATGACCACGTTTTCAAACATGTATAACAATGAAAACTCATGCTATTTCACTTTTGGTTACATTAATAAATGTAGCCTTGATTAAAAAAAAAAAAAAAAAACAATAAAACAGAATCCAACTTTAGTGATGTTTTAAAAAATGAATTATATTAATTATTATGTATTAAGTTTGCATGTGATTTATATGTATATCATTAAACTGGCAAATATCTATGCAATATATAATATACTGTAAACAATATATACTCACCGGGCCCCTTTATTAGTTACACCTTACTAGAACCGGGCTGAACCCCCTTTTAACTTCACAACTGCCTTAATCCTTCGTGGCATAGATCATAGATTCAACAAGGTACTCGAAATACTCCTCAGAGATGTTAGTCCATATTGATGTGATAGCATTACGCTATCACTTTTCTGTAGCTGATTTGTGGGCTGTACATCCATGATGCGAATCTTCCATTCCACCACATACCAAAGGTGCTCTATTGGATTGACATCTGGTGACTGTGGAGGCCATTTAAATACCATGAACTCATTTTCATTTTCAAGAAACCAGAAATGAGATGATTTGCACTTTATGACATGGTACGTTATCCTGCTGGAAGTAGCCATCAGAAGATATGTGCACTGTGGTTATAATGGGATGAACCTGGTCAGCAACAATACTCATGTAGGCTGTGGTGTTGACATGATGCTCAGCTTTAACTAATGGGCCTAAAGTGTGCCACGAAAACATCCCCCCACACAATTACACCACCAGCCTGAATCAGGATGGATCCATGCTTTCATGTTGTTGATGCCAAATTCTGACCCTACCATCTGAATGTTGCAGCAGAAATTGAGACTCATCAGACCAGGCAACGTTTTTTCCAATCTTTTATTGTCCAATTTTGGTGAGCCTGTTAGAACTGTAGCCTCAGTTTTCAGTTCTTAGTTGACAGGAATGGCATCGGGTGTGTTCTTCTGCTGCTGTAGTCCATCCGCCTCAAGTTGTGCTTTTAGAGATGCTCTTCTGCATACCTCGGTTATTTGAGTTACTGTTGCCTTTCTATCAGCTTAAACCAGTCTGGCCATTCTCGTCTGACCTCTGGCATCAACAAGGCATTTGTGCCCACAGAACTGCTGTTCACTGGATATTTTTTTTGTTCAGGTTATTGTCTGTAAACCCTGGAGATGGTTGTGTGTAAAAATCTGAAATACTCAGACCAGCCCATGAGGCACCAACAACCATGACACGTTCAAAATCACTTCATTCTTCTTCACCATTCTGATGCTTAGATTGAACTGCATCATCTTGACCATGTCTACATGCCTAAATGCATTGAGTTGCCATGGGGTTGGCTGATTAGAAATTTGCATCAACAAGTAGTTGGACAGGTGTACCTTATAAAGTGACAAGTGTGTGTATATAATGTATAATGATAATGCAACCAATTAATACATTTAATTATAATACTACTAAAATAAAACTGATCTTAATCATACTCATTGGTCTGTGAATGTAGCAGTGATATTAATTACCAATAAATATCAGAATAATCAATTAATTTTCCTACTACATTTTTCAGTATCATATCCTAAACCATCTTGGAATTGATATTTCTGTGTAGGTTCACTCTCACCAGCAGCGTCGACACCACACTCCCAGCAGTCTTCATCTTCCTCAGGGCTTCTCTTACTCTGATTCACTCACGCCTCCACCAGAGAAACTGGAGCTGTTTGCTGTGCTGTGCATAGAGACCAGCCACTACGTCTCTTTCGTCAAACATGGACCTCGGGATACTGACTGGATTTTCTTTGATAGCATGGCTGACCGTGTTGGTAAGTAAATGTGTTTACAGTGTGAGTTCACACACATTTAGTGGAGTAGAACATTCAGTGCACTTACAGAACCTGTTTGCAGGTGAAAGCAATGGTTATAATATCCCAGAAGTGCGTGCTTGTCCTGAGGTTGGCCAGTATTTACACATGCCTTTGGCTCAGCTGGCAAATCAAGTGCCTCGAGAAATGGATGGTGTGGCCAAACGACTCTTCTGCGATGGTTACATGTACCTTTACCAGAGTAAGAGCATGTCTCTATATCGATGAGTGAATCTACTGAACATGTACAATAAACGAGAGTGTGCAATCAGATTACATTAGACTACATCTGTTCAAGGGAAATTATGAAACTCTATGGTTCTTTGCTTCATATTTGAGCATTTTAAATATTTGAAATGAAATATTAACACTGTTTTGGTATAAGTTTCCTGTATTGCATTGCCAGGGTGGTATATACTCTTTAAGCATTTGGTATATACTTTTTTAATGGAAGCTTTTAGCGATTAGGCTGAGATAAAAGTGCTAAAAGTGCCTTGTATGTATAAGAAATAATAATATAATAATTTTCTTCTCTTTAATGTCTTTGCAATTTTTCCCCCCCTTTTTTTATTATTTGGGTGCACAGAACATTCTTTAAACATCTTATATATATTTAAAAGATTTTGGCTTAAAAGTCATTTCCTGAGATTTTATGTGTGTTGAACATCAATTAAGACAACATTAGCATATGTTAGCTTTAATAGTAGGGAATAACTTAACTTGAGCTCCCCCTAACCACCTCAATTTCATCTCTGGGGTTTAAAATCTTGGGGCTGTGAGTACTTCAATGACAGGTCAGTGTCTAACTATTATTTATAAAATTAAGTTTTCTAATCCTAAAAGAAGTTGCTACTTCTACTTTTTTTATCAAACAGTGAGACCATTCAGTAGTTAGGTGCTGATCATGTGTCTCAGTTCTGGTAGTGTTGTCTGAAGTACCAACTTCTAAGATTCTCTACTGAAATTTTTAAAGATGATGATGATGACAGCAATTCCACTTTCATTTTGAGCACTGTTGAGTGGATTACTGAACACTGCTGATTGGCTATTGGGTTCACATGCTTAAAACATATGACTGTGATTGGCTCTAATGATCACCAGTTTACAAGAGCATTACATGGACTCTGCTGCGTTTGAAAGCTGCGTCTATCAGCAGATTAAAGCCATGTCCACGTGTACACAGGTATTTTTCCTGCCCTCATTTATTAAAAAAAAAAGTCTGTCCACATAAAAATGCACTTTGATGCATGTTAAGGGTACCAACAGGCAGCAATAAAAGCAATTATGCTGGGTTTACACCAAATGCGAGCTAAGTATTGAGTGCATTCAAAGACTATAGAACACAAGACATATCACTCATATAGTTTTGAATGGGGAAAAATGTAAAGGTCAAAATGGTGAATGAAGCCCCGCCTACTACTACAGGAGCCAATCATGGATTGATATAGTCTGACGTTTTTCCAGGGCTAAGCTCAGATCAGATGTGTGCTTTTACAACAGTTTGGTGGTCAACAACCACACTGGAATCTCAGCGAATCCTTGCTTCACAGACACAAGAAATATATCAAAATAAAGCTTGACATCTGTACTTTTAAGGTGCACTTGATATTAAAAGTTTTCTGGTTTTGTAATCCGTATGAAACCAGCGCGAGATACAGTCAGTCCTGTCAAATTTTCTGGAGGAGATTCGCCATGAAGATCAAGTTGTGGATTACTTTAGAAAACTAGCATTATTTAGAGGATGATAAAGTGTAGAATGGCCCTAAATGAAGTTGGTGTCATTATCTCGTTCCTTTTGAATGCAGACGCAAGTGGGCAATCTGAAAATATGCCAATTTTCTTTGATTCAGACATTTAGAAACAAAACTTATGAGATAGTTGTTGCTTAATTTCATTGGTGATTCCAAATATGTAATCTAATCATATGCTTGGCTAAAAGTTTTGGAGAATTTGATGTCTCCCCATTCAGACAGAATGTCCGAGCATACTTTTCAAGAGGCATTTTAAGGATGGTTACCTTAAAGGGATGACTTGCCTTAAAGGGACTTTTGTGCATTGCATACAAGTCAATGCAAACATGTGAACAATGGCAAATTACTGTCCCATGGTGTGGCTATGCATAATTTGCCTCAGTCACATCTTCCACATTTGGTGTGAACCAAGCTGTGTTGGCCAATCAGAAAGGAGAAAACAGCATGCACACTGACATTATGAGACAAAACTCCAGTTAGCGGCAACAGTGGACTCTGAGTTTCTGAAAATCTACTCCCTGGCCAGAGTTTTTAAGAGAGTTTCGGTTTCAGTCAACTGATACTGCATTTTATTGTGGACAATTAGCTAATTAGAGTAGAAAAAACTGCGGTTTTGAAAATACCTATGTTTGTGTGGACAGGGCCTAACTAACAATATTCAAATACTGAAAACAAAGACTTTTCCAGTCCATTCAAATCAGGTATGTGTGCGTTCCAATTTTATATTAAGCACTCTTTAAATATATATATATATATATATATATATATATATATATATATATATATATATATATATATATATATATATATATATAATAACCTCACATTAGTCAATACGGCCATTAACAGATTGCTGTCGCGCTGTAATTTAATTGAGGTTGACTGGAACTGAAAGAAGAGGGTTTCATGACCCTTTAAAGAAATCAACTAAGAATACCATGTATGTATATAAGATATAATATAATTGTTTAAAAAATAGGAAAAGATGTTATATTTTATTGTAAAATACATATAACTAATCTGCTCCCTAATTCATTTTGTTGTGTTTTTTGTTTTGTTTTTTTAATACTGACAAGATTTATTTTCTATAAAACTGAATTTGATGATTTGGTTTTTAATGGCTATTCATTAATTATGTTTAAAGCTCTGTGTCCACTGAATAGCATTATGATGAGCCATGCTGTATGATGTCCTCAATTTGTCAGAATTCTTTGATTTATTTCACTGGAAACGAGTAATACTGTACATGCATTCTCCTGAATTTGTTTGTTTTGGTGTATTTGATTTATTCCAAGTATAAAGATCACCAAAAAATAAATGCATTGACAGAACTCCATTGCCTGAATCCTCTTTCTTTCCAACTCGATTTGTGTTTGTGTAAGAGTCATAGATCCCTGCTTATTACATTCCTTAATGCACCCAAAACAGACAAATGTGTGGTAATGGAATATTATTTCAAACAGCTATCTTTTCAAAGTGATAGAAAGGAATCAAAAGGCATCAAGTAAAATAAGTCCTTAATGCTGGTAAATGTGATTTAAGATCAATTTGATGAGACACACAGCTAAGTACTCAAGGCATAACTTCACTGTAAATATTTACAATAAGCTAAAATATTATTTTCATTCTATACAGGTGTAAACATAGATGTGTTTTTGTGGTTTTTGAAAACTTGATTGTGTTTAAATTATTAGTTTTATAATTATAATATAAATGAGCTAATTACATTTAATATGGTTATTAAATGGGTGGTGCTTTTAATGAATTAATTGAAATGGGCAGATGATAGCAAATTGAATAATAATAAGTTGCTTTCAGAACTGCATTCATTCTTTATGGCAAGTCTGCAAACTTGAAATTTTGAATTTCTATTAATTAAAAGCTTGAAGACACATCATAAGTAGATTATAAAATAGATTATTTCATAAAACACAAATTAATATTTAGGGCAAACACATACTGTAAGTGAAATGAGATGATATAACAAACTTTACTTTGACTTGAATATTATTGCAGGCAATACAACACCACTTTATCTAATGTGTTCCTCTTGATTGTTAATTTATTTTTTCAAAATGTGTGACAGTAAAGCATTTACCACTTGGCAAGTGTTTCAGCTGTCATTTTTTCCTATTCTTCCTGCAAAGAAGTCTTATTGTGGGCAACAGTTACAAAGTCTTCATTGTCACATTCTCATTTAGAGACAGGTCGGGACTGCAGGCAGGCCAGTCAAGTACTGTACCTGTATCCTATTCCTCCACATCCTTTGTAATGTGTGCAGAATGTGGTTTTGCATTGTCTTGTTGAAGTATGCATGGTCTGACCTTGAAAAGGCAGCAGCATACTGTGCTCCAAAATCTCTATGTACTATTCAGCATTAATGATACCATCACAGAAATGAAAGTTACCTTTCCAAGGGCACTGACAAAACCCCATAGCATGAAAGAAACTGGCTTTTGGACTTGTGGCTAGTAACAGTCTCCACTGGTAAACTGGCGATCCTTGGTCCATTTTTGCTTCTAAAGGACTAGGCCTTTCTTGGATGCTGCTTTCGTACCGAATCATAATTACAATCACATCATTATTTAACCAGTTTATCTGATTACTAACCCTAAGTTGCTCATGTTTCAACCTTTTTGTAACATGTTGCAGATCTGAATAACAGGAATATATATTTACAAACTGACCATTAAATATGTTGTGTTCATATTGTCTACAATCAAATACAAGTCAAAGTAGATTTTCATTTCCATACTGTCCCAACTTCTTTCTGATTTGGGGTTGTAAATCATACATTTTAGGTAAACAACTGATAACTAATGTGTCACTTTGTACTTGTCACTGTATCCTCTTCTGACCTCTCAAGGCTCCCGCCCTGCTCTTATTTTCACTTTCTCTCTGCTTCCTGCTGTCTTTTTCAATGGAACCTCTTATCTTTTTTTTTCTTTCATATCCACACTGTCACTGTGAACCCTCTTGACACGAATTTGAACAAAGAGAATGTGCGAATACACAGTCAACACATGCTGAATTCACAGAGCATTGCCAAAGACACAGGCAAGAGCAGACCTGTGATCAGCCAGCACTGCTTTACAGGCACAGGAAATCTACTAATGCTGGACTCTAAATCAATAAAGCGTGATGACCTTATTATGCAGACAGAGCTCAGTGCTGTGGGTAGAGACGAAGTCAACTGATTTCACCTGACAAATCCGGTCAATCAGTTAAATAGAATTACCTGTTACGAATAGCGCCAGGATATGACAATTTTCTAATTTGTGTCATCAGTTCATTACATTTTATACATGTGTTATGATATTCTTGATTGAATCAGAGGTACTTTTACACACAATGTTGTATACAACACATAATATGCTATAGCACTCTGGTAAGGCTGGCCATTGGCACACATTTGACCATGTTTTACTTATTGATGAAAATGAACAGTTGGATGCACCAAAACATTCTGCAGTTAAACAAAAAGAAAACTGAAGTCCTTTAAGTTGAGAACAGAAATGAGGTTCTCAAAGAAATGCGTACCTTGACTCGATGGGTAAAAGTGTGATTCTGGAGTCGGATCGAAGTTTCACTATATTTCAAAATCGTAAGTTAATCAGCATACTCAAAAACCATTGAGACTTAGAGAAACGTGTTCATGCTTTTATCACCAGCAGGGTGGATTACTGTAATGGACTTCTCACTGGCCCTCCCAAAAAGACCAATAGTATCTGGATGCAGCCTTTATGATGCAAGCTGAGATTGCATCACTCAGCGATGCAATGTCAGACACATTGCACTCAAATAGACCTAGTAACGTCATGGTGAGGGTTAGGGGTGGGGTCAGGTGAGCCCATTAAAAAGCATTGGATGCAGCCCAGATTGCACTGCATCAGGTCTGCATCCAGACCCCTCTCAAAAAGACAGTCAGTCAGTTGCAGCTCATCCAGAACGCTGCTGCCAGGATTCTGACCAGAACCAGAAAATCAGAGCACTTCACACCTGTCCTCAGGTCTTTACACTAGCTCCTAGTTACATTCAGAATAGATTTTAAAGTATCATTACTTGTCAATAAATCACTTAATGGCCTAGGACCTCAATGTTTTACAGATATGCTCAATGAAAACAAACCTAACAGATCACTCAGATCATTAGAATGAAGCAAATTATAATCTCCAAGAGTTCAGTTAAAGCAGGGTGCAATCAAAGCAAGGGTTTGGGGGCTTGCCTTCTTGAAAAAAATTCCGTTTTCATACAAATTAAGTTATGAATTTAAAAATTTAGCAATTTTCTGATGATGTGTGAAATAGTTGTTTTCTCATGAGATCGGGCTGTTTTGGCTAAGTTGGTATAGACATTTTTCTTTGAAAGTAAAATTACCCATTTTGCTCTGCGTGTATGCGCAAGGAGGATGCTTCGAACTTCGCATAAAGAGTCACATTCTGACAGCTTTGAAACAATAGTTTTTATCTATTGTACTTGCTTTTAATGTTGTTGAGCTACTACTGCTGTCGATCAGCGTCACCTCTTGGACCAATTATTTTTTTAAAATGTGATCTAATGGGATGGAAAACAACTGCTACGAAGTATTTTTTCCTCGTTGTCAGATGGCATCTTGTTTAAATGGAGCATCGTCATCTCTAAAGTGTACATTTTCTCTTTGTTTCAAATATATAACCAACCCAAACAACTGAAATTCACCAAAATGTTTAACACATACTGTCCACTAACACACTGATTGAATAACTGGCACAAAGTGAAAATAAAGTGACATTTTAAAATTGCAGAAAGACACATAGCCTACCGTGGTAAATACTACACAATTCAAACTAACTAAATAAAACATAAACTGCTTTTATAAACTTTAACCGATTAGAATCAACATGCAAATCAGCCAGAAAAGTATCAGTAATGTACTTTTATTGGTAATTTTTGGAAATTGCTGGCTTACGTACCTGCTAGTTTCATGCCAGTAATGGTGTGTGCATTAAAAAGTCGTGGAGTACTTTATAACAGCTGACAGGTCGGAAACAACACTGACAATATATTTCAGCACCTGATCTGATGGCAGACACTAAATTAGGACAACAATTTTCTCTCGCACTTGAACCGCATCTGACAGAAATAATACAGCTTTAACACGCAACTTTCTTTCAAAATTTGAGTTTTCCATCCTTCCATCCTACACTCCGTAAGCCACTCAAAAATATTAAAACCTTTCAACCCTCCCGTTTTTCCAGGGATTCTCCCGTATTTTATAGTTCTATCCCGCTATCATCCCTAAAAGGTATTTTCCCGTATTTCTCCCGTATTTTAAGTGTTTCTCTGAAAGGTGGCAAGAAACATAAAAGAGTCAAGCCTCCCTGTACGCAACCCATACTGCCGAACCACTAGGGGCCGCCCCTTGCTCCTAAATGTGAATTTGGTCTGTGCTTTCGCTTTGTTTAGGCACGAAAGCACTTTGAAATAAATATACAAACGGCGTTTCCTTTTCATTACAGGTGCCGTCACCCCTCCTATGCAATCCTCATAACAGTCATATAATGGTGCTGACTGTAAGTAAGCTGATGTGCTCCATAGTGATAAATTGACGCTGTTACCCAAACAGACTCTGTACACGCGATTTGAATTTTGATTTTGAGCGAAAGTGGCTTTTGTGTGCGTGTTTAAACAGATATATACACATAATTAATAATAATAAGATCTAAAGATTTCAATGTTGGTGTTTTTTTTTTTTTTCAAATACATCTGATTTCGT